CCCTACCACCTCTGCTCCAACCCCACCTCCTCCTCCCTCTCGCATTCCCAACCTCATTCTCCATTAAGATTAGTTTTCAATTAACTTTATACACAGAAGACCAATTCTATATTAAGTAAAGATCCAACAGTTTGCACGCACACACACACACACACACACAACTGTTTGAGAACAAGTTTTACAGTTAATTCTCATACAACTCATTGAGGATTAAGTCCTCATGCATGGGGAGTAAGTGCACAGTGACTCTTGTTAATTTAAGAATTAACACTCTTATATATGATGTCAGTGATCACCCAAGGCTCTTGTCATGAGCTGCCAATGCTATGGAAAACTTTAGAATCCACAGTCTCCGTCAGTAGTTAAACAAGGCCATAAGCAAAGTGGAAGTTCTCTCCTCCCTTCAGAGAAGAGTACATCCTTCTTTGATGGCCACTTCTTTCCACTGGGGTCTCTCTCACAGAGGTCCTTCATCTAGGACATTTTTTTGCCACAATGTCTTGGCTTTCCATGCCTGAATTGCTCTCATGGGCTTTTCAGTCAGATCAGAATGCCTTAAGGGCTGATTCTGAGGTCAGAGTGCTATTTAAAGCGATTGTCATTCTATGAATCTGCTGTGTGGACTGCTTCCCATGATAGAACATTCTCTCCTTTTTAATTTTACCTATTATTATTACCAGACACTTGATAATATTAAATGATCCCTTTAACATTTAATCCTATCTATATGATTTATGTCTTTAATCCATTTGGAATGGATTTTCGTGTAAGGTGTAAGGAAAGGGTCCTGCTTCATATTTCTGCATGTGGAAATCCAGTTTTCCCAGCACCAGCACCATTTGTTGAAGAAACTGTCCTTGCTCCAGGGATTGGTTTTAGCTCCTTGGTCAAATATAAGTCAATTGTACATGCTTGGATTAATTTCTGGCATTTCTATTCTGTTCCATTGGTCTATCCTTCTGGTTTTGTACCAGTACCAGGGTGTTTTGATTATAACTGCCTTGCAGTATATCTTGAAATCTGGTATTATGATGCCTCCAGCTTTGTTTTCCTTGTATAAGATCTCTTTAGCTATTTAGATTCTCTTGTGTTTCCATATGAATTTCAGCATCCTTTTTTCTATAATGAGAAGAAAGTCCTTGGTATTTTGATCGGTATTGCATTGAATCTATAAATTGCTTTCCATAGTATGGACATTTTGATGATATTTGATTCTTCCAAACCATGATCAAGGAAGATTTTTCCATTTTTTATGTCTTATTCTATTTATTTCTTTAATATTTCACAATTTTCATTGTAGAGATCTTTGACATCCTTGGTAAAATTTATTCCAAGGTGTTTGATTTTTTTTTGTAGCTGTTATGAATGGGATTGATCTTAGAAGATCTTTCTCAGCCATGAAATTCTCTGTGTATACAAAGGCATTTGATTTTTGTGTATTGATTTTATATTCTTCTACTTTACCAAACTCTTCTACGAGTTCCAGTAGTCTCTTGGTGTAGTCTTTTGGATCCCCTATATATAGAATCATGTCACTACAAATAAGGATGGTTTGACTTCCTTTTCCCAATTTGACTCCCTTTGATTTCTTTTTCTTGCCTAATGACTCTGGCTAAAACTTCCAGTACTATATTGAATAGCAATGGTGAGAGTGGGGATCCTTGTCTAGTTCTGGATCTACATGGGAATGCTTCCAACTTTTCCCCATTCAATAGGATGCTGACCATGGGTTTGTCATAAACTGCCTTGATTATGTTGAAGAATTCTATCTATACCCAATTTGCTTAGAGTTTTCATCATGAAAGGCTGTTGTATTTTATCAAATACTTTCTCTGCATCTATTGAGATAATCATATGGTTTTTGTTCTTCAATTTGTTAATGTGATGTATCACATTGATTGACTTGCAAATGTTGAACCATCCCTGTATACCAGGAATAAATCCCACTTGGTCCGGATGAATGATCTTTCTGATGTATTGTTGGATTCAATTGGCTAGAATTTTTTTGAGGATTTTTGTGTCTATATTCATCAAGGAAACTGGTCTGTAGTTCTCTTTCTCTGTTGCATCTTTTTTGGATTTAGGAATTAAGATGATGCTGGCTTCATAGAATTTGAGAAGATTCCCTCTGTTTCAATTGTTTCGAATAACTTGAGAAGAACTGGAGTTAGTTCTTCTTTGAATGTTTGGTAGAATTCAGCAGTGAAGCCATCAAGTCCTGGGCTTTTCTATGTTGGAAGGGTCTTTATTAGTGATTCAATTTCTGTCTTGGTAATGGGTCTGTTTAGATTTTCTGTGTCTTCATGGTTCAATTCAAGTAGGTTGTATGTGTCCAGGAATCTATCCATTTCTTCTAGGTTCTCCAGTTTGCTGGCATACAGCTCTTTGTAGTAGTTTCTGATGATTCTTTTTATTTCTGTGCTGTGTATTTACATTTCCTTTATCATCTCTAATTTTATTGCTTTGGGTCTTCTATTTCCTTTTTTTGGTTAGTTGGGCCAATGGTGTGTCAATTCTGTTTATTTTTTCAAAAAACCAGTTCTTTGTTTTGCAATCTTGTATTTTTTTTGGATTCAACTTTATTGATTTCTTCTCTACTTTTAATTATTTCTTTTCTCCTACTAGTTTTGAGTTTGGTTTGCTGTTGTTTTCCTAGGTCCTTGAGGTGCATTGATAGCTCATTTATTTGATGCCTTCCAATTTCTTGATGTAGGCACCAATTGCTATAAACTTTCCTCTTAACACTGCTTTTGCTGTATCCCATAAGTTTTGATATGTTGTATGTCATCCTCATTTGTTTCCAGAGATTTTTTTAATTTATCTTTTGATTTCTTCTATGACCCAGTGTTCATTCAGGAGCATGTTGTTCAGTCTCCATGTGTTTGCATGTATTCCAAAGATTCCTGAGTTGCTGATTTCCAGCTTCATTACATCGTGGTTCAAGAAGATGCATGGTATGGTTTTGATTTTTTTGAATTAGTTAAGACTTGCTTTATGGCCTAACTTGTGGTCAATCCTAGAGAAAGTTCCATGCACTGCCAAGAAGAAGGTGTATTCTCAACTGTAGGATAAGGAGTTCTGTAGATATCTGTTAAGTCCATTTGGTCTACAGCATCAATTAAATCTGTTGTTTCCTTGCTGTTTTGTCTGATTGATCTGTCCATTGCTAAAAGTGGGGTATTGAAATCCCCCATTACTAATGTATTGCAGTCTATGTCTCCATTTAGATCCCTTAAAATTTCTTTTAAATAGCCAGGTGCTCTGTAATTAGGTACATATAAATTTATAATAGTTACATCTTCCTCTTGAATTGATCCCTTAATCATTACATAGTGCCCTTGTCTCTCTTAACAGTTTTTGTGTTAAAGTCTATTTTGTCTGATATTAGGATGGCTACACCAGCTCTTTTGGTTTCTGTTAACATGGAATATCTTTTTCTTTTTTTAAAGATTTATTTTTTATTTTATTTGAAAGAGAGTTACAGAGAGAGAGAGAGAGAGAAAGAGAAAGAGGTCTTCCATCAGCTGGTTCACTCCCCAGATGGTTGCAATGGCCAGAGTTGCGCCGATACGAAGCCAGGAGCCAGGAGCTTCTTCTGGGTCTCCCACATGGGTGTAGGGGCCCAAGGGCTTGGGCCATCTTCTACTGCTATCTCAGGCCATAATAGAGCTGGACCGGAAGAGAAGCAGCCGGGACTAGAACCGGCGCCCATATGGGATGCTGGCACTTCAGCCCAAGGTGTTAACCAACCCACTGCACCACAGTGCCAGCCAACATGGAATATCTTTTTCCATCCTTTCATTTTCAATCTGCATGCATCTTTGTTGGTGAGATGTGTTTCTTGTAGGCAGAAAATAGATGAGTTTTGCTTTTTAATCCATGCAGCCAGTCTGTGTCTTTTAACTGGAGAGTTGAGGATATTTACATTCAAATTGATTATGGATAAGTAATGACTTTGCCCTGTCATTTTTCCATAAATATTTCTATTTTTTACTTTGGTTTTCCTTTGTACTTTTACTGGGAGATTTCCTTCCTTTACCTACTTCATAGCAATAACCATGTTTGTATCTTCAAAATGGTGCCCGCTTTATGTCAGCTTGTTACAGGACGCTATTGCAGGGTGACTGGGGAGAGAGAAAATGTGCTTCCCCTTTGTTTCTTCTCCTCTATTTTGTTAGGTACACTATCCCCAACGGGGCTCCAAGCCAGATTCTGTCTAGGCTCTTCTTGCAACTTTTTCAACAGTGGCTTGGGCTGCTGCAGTCTGGTCTCACCTCACTCTCCAAAACACTGGTGTGGAGGCTCTCAGCTGCTGGGGTCCTGAGTTTTGTATATCCTCACCCTCCATGTAGGTTCTCTGTGTCCTTCCAACTTGTGTAGAGTTTCCTCTGCTGTTTTCTCCCTAACTTTTCCCTGAGTCTGCACTCTTTCCACTTTTTTTTTAAACTACTATCTTCTCTTAGACTAGAGCAGAAAGCTTCCTCCTTACTCTGCCATCTTAATCCCCATCCATTGTACCTGCATTTTGACTGAAACTCAGAACATGTAGTTAGGTATGTAACTGTCTTTTTTTAAAGATTTATTTTATTTATTTGAAAGGCAGAGTTACAGAGAGAGAGAGAGAGAGATCCTTCCATCCACTGGTTCACTCCCCAAATTGCTGCAATGGCCAGTGCTGAGCCAGACCTAAGCCAGGAGTCAGGAGCTTCTCCTGGGTCTCTCAAGCACTTGGGCCATCTTCCACTGCTTTCCTGGGCTCATTACTGGGAGGTGGACTGGAATTAGAGCGGCCAAGACTCAAACTGGTGCCCATATGGGAGGTTGGCATCAGTGACCTTACCTGCTACGCCACTATACCAGCCCTAGGTGCGGAACTTTCCATTTGAGACATCGTTCTGGCACTCAAAAATTTCTAAAACCTAAAAACAAAAAATTAAATAAGTAAAAATTTCTAATTTTGAAGCATTTTGGCTTTTCAAATTAGGGATGCCCAACCCATACTCTCTCCAGCCTACTCCTTGAAAATCAAGTGTGCTTCTGCCTCAAGGCTTTTGCTCCTCATTTTCTGCTAAAACTCAGTGTTCTTTTTCAGTATTCCACCACTCAGTAAATGCATAGCCCATGTAGCTTCATAAAATGGAAGCTTTCAATCACCCTTGACAGTTTCCTCTCCCTCATTCCTAATGTCCAATCCATCATCAAACTGTGGGATTTTCCCCCAACATTAACAATGCTCAGACCCGTCTACTTCACATCTCCACTGCCAATAGCGGGATTCTTTCCATTGCCAATCAATTCTTTTCCCCACTGCAGCCCAAGTAGTCCTTTCACAAAGCAAATCTGATCAAATCCCAGACCTCCTTAAACACTCTTTAATGGCTCCCCTCTGCTGATAGACTATAGACCACAATGAACATGGCCTACATAGCCTTCCTAGTGTGACCCTTTACTCTGCCTCTACTCCAGCTGTGCTGGTCTTTTCTCTGTTCCAGGGATGCTGCCATATATCCCTCTGCCTTGACCTGCGGCTTCCTCTTTTTGGAAAACAGTCCCCACCACACCCCATCCCAGCCCCACTCCTCAGCTCCTCTCTGTCTAGTCAAAACCTTACACTGCAACTTAATTATCATTTCCTCAGTAGAGACTCCTTGACTCCTCAGTCCAGAGAGGATCCCTCGGTTTCACACTTTCCAGAGAATCTTGCTTCTTTCCTACAGAACAGTCACGATACTTATAATTGTATGTTCAATAGCACAGTTCTTTGTCAAATGACAACTCCACAAGGCTGTAAATTTTATTATAGCAGGGAGCAAAGTGTTTGAACACACAGTTGACGCTCAATAAGCATTCGTTAATAAAGGGGTAAATAGATGGACTGATGAAAATAAAGCCACGCTTTTGAAAGACAAATCTGGCAAATCAATTAATAAAAGGAAGAGAAAGTGAAGGGAAAGAATCCTGAATAATTAGAAGGCCAGTAGGCAGAACAGGCCAGGAAAGAGGAAATGAAATCCCAAAGTCGGGTGTTGAGAGAGGGAATGGAAAGTCACTGCCTTGGCGTGGGGGGTGGGGGCTGTGTTGTGCTACTGATACACCAGGTCAGCCACAAGGAGCCAGCAATACCCGAGCCTGTGCTCAGTGCCAGCTGCTCTCCCCAAACGTGGGTGGGGAATCAACAAAGTCTTGGCCTGTTCAGCAGTCTCAACACTGAGGGAAGTTCAGTGGTGAGGACAAAAGGCACTTTCTAGGACATCTTGTCTTTTAAAAAGACAAAACCATTGAACAACAAAGAAATTCCAGCACTGTTTTGCCATCCTCCAGACCTTGTGGGTCCATAAATAAGCTGGTTGCTGTGTTTCTAACGGCCACTGATGTATTTGATTACATTTTCAATTCAGATGGCTCCGTTATTACAAGGAGCAACTTCATTACCAGGAGGGCCCGGAGCCCAGACTATACTAGCTCCCTGTCATATAATTTAGCCTCAGTCATACCTCAGACAATATTTATACAAGGTCACTTCTTCAAACCATGTCTAGCCTTCCCAAATGACAATATTATTTATGCCAAATGCTTCTCCTAAGGGATGGAAAACCGCCAACTCTGGTTTAATAGGCTATACGGACAGGCTAGAAAAACATCATTTGTAGCACACACAGTTTATGTGTTTAGTGTATAACTAGGAGTATAGAGTGATCATTGGAAACATGGCCGAAAATTGGCCCCAGGAAAAAAAAAAGCCACAAAAGCACTAGGGTTTGGATCTTTCCTCCCTGATATTAGTTTTGGAAGCCCTAGGTTTGGCCAGAATTATGAACGCACAAGGAGAGCTGCCTCAGACTTTAGTGGCTACCTGAATATCCGAAACAGGGAGGGAAACCTGCAGGAGGAAATTTCACTTGGTGTATGTACCCAGCAGCCATCCTCCTGTGGTTGCAAATTAATGTGAGCATCCAGTGGAACAGGCAGCCCAGGGGCCTCCGGTAACAAAGAACAGTCTAACCCATTGATGTTAATTTACGAAATTATTCACATCCCACAATCTGGAATAGAAATCAGCGGCCAAAAAAATGCCTCCTCTACACCTCAGTCAAAACACCTATAAAAATCTAGATACCAGGAGGCAAAGTCTGGAACATAAACGACTTCATCATGTTGCCAGTGAGTTATTAAAGTACAGGGCGATGGAGCTGCCAGGGGCGTCTGGGCTACCCTTGCTCCCAAGCTCCGTTCTTGGTGGTGTCTTTAATAAGGCATTTGGTCAGAACACACTGGTGACAACTCCTTTCTCTTAAAACCTAGTGAAGGATACGAGTCATACATTCCACTTAATCCTTTAGGGACCACTGGGACTTTAAAATCTCTCCAGGAGAGAATTAACAAACTTCACTATGCTGAGCTTTTAAATCAAGTGTAGAATGCCCATGTGCACTTCCATGGCTTGTTGATAATAAATATCATTCATAAATTATTTATATATTGTCCTTTAACTACATGCTTACAATTCCTGCATAAGAATACCGTGTCTAATTTAAAATTTAGGATGCAAAAGTGTCAGACTACAAAGAGGTGTTTCAAACATTCAAAATTGCTCCATTGTGTCAATCATTTGGAATGGTTCTTATTACTTAAAATGAATTTTTAAGGGCTGTAAGAACTGCCTATTTTTTTTCTAAAGCTCTCTCTAGAATTGCCACCCATTGGTCCAATGTTTAATAGAACTTAATGTCATTATCATTATTATTTCTAATAATAACATTAACTCCTTATGATGAGCATACCCTCTGACCCAGGAATTCCATGTCCAGAAATTTATTTCAGGTCAACAATTATAAAGATATATGTGCAAAGACATTCATTGCAGAATTATTTATTATTGGGAATAAATGTTTGAGTATAGCAATGGAGAACTGGTTAAACAAAGTATTAACATAACTGAATACCATATAACCATAAAAATGTTATAGAAAAATGGCCAACCCCTGGAGGAGGTTCATTACAAATGAAAAGAGGTGACAAAACAAAATACACTGAATGTATGTCCAGATGGAATGACATAAAAATATTAACCCGGGGACGGGCACCATGGCTCACTTGGTTAATCCTCCACCTGAGGCACTGGCATTCCACATGGGTGCCGGGTTCTAGTCTCGGTTGCTCCTCTTCCACTCCAGTTCTCTGCTGTGGCCCAGGAAAGCAGTGGAGGATGGCCCAAGTATTTAGGCACCTGCACCTGCATGGGAGACCAGGAAGAAGCACCTGACTCCTGGCTTTGGATTGGCATAGCACCAGCCGTAGCAGCCATTTTGGGGGTGAACCAACGGAAGGAAGACCTTTCTCTCCGTCTCTCTCTCTCTCACTGTCTACTCTGTCAAATAAAAATAAATAAATAAATAATTTAAAAACTATATTAACCCAGGATGGGTGTTGTGGTGTAGTAGGTTAGGCCACTGTTTGGATTGTCTACAACTCAATTAATAATTAATTAATAATTAAAGTATGAGTTCAAGGTCCAGCTACTCCACTTGCATCCAGCTTCCTGCTGATGAATCCTGGAGACAATGGAAGACGGCCCAAGTACTCGGGTCCCTGCCATCCATGTGAGAGACCCAGATGGAGCTCCTGGCTCCTGGCTTCAGCCTGGCCCAGCCAGCCCTGGCTGCTGTAGGCATCTGGGGAGTGAGCAACAGATCAAAGCTCTCTCTGTCCACCTGTTCTTCTGTATCCCTGTCACTCTGCCTTTCAAGTAGATGAAAATAATTTTTTAAAAACCAAAACATTAACTCAGGCAGGACAGTCCTGGGGACGCCCCAGGATAATGCAGCTCACAGAGGAGAAGGAGGCTGAGGAGTGGATGTTGATGTGGTCTTTACCTGCAGGTGGAGAGTACTTAGGGACATTTGGACAAGAACTTTTACTTGTACTTCTATTACAGAAGTCATTTGTTTCCCAGGTGTCATCATCCGACTAAAGAAGGGATTACATGAGTAATTTTTTGCTGCTCTGAGCCTAAAGGTAGTGTGGACAGAACCTGGGCCAGACTTTCCCTGGCCCTTCCTCCACATTGCTTATCTGAGTCGAAAGTGAGAAGCCCACCTTGAGCTGCGTGCAGTGAGATCCCCGAGTCCCCCACAGTAAACACTGCCATACGCTTCTCAACATCACAGTACTCCAGGTAACCCCTGAAGCCATGCTCATGTCTACATGATCCCTCAGCATAGAGATTTATTAGGATATTGTAAATGAAATTTGGACAAACCGAAGCATGAAGCGGGAGACCCCACTGGCTCAAAAACTAAATAAACAGATAAATAAGTTAGAAAAATAGACCAGCTTCATCAGCCTCTCCGGCAAAACAGATATGGGCCCATGACTCATTAAAACAGGAGCTATTTCAGGGAACAATCTCGGCTGGATAGAGATTTTGCTTAAGAGTGTCTCTAGGCTGGCGCCGCGGCTCAACAGGCTAATCCTCCGCCTAGCGGCGCCGGCACACTGGGTTCTAGTCCCAGTCGGGGCGCCGGATTCTGTCCCGGTTGCCCCTCTTCCAGGCCAGCTCTCTGCTGTGGCCCGGGAGTGCAGTGGAGGATGGCCCAGTGCTTGGGCCCTTCACCCCATGGGAGACCAGGAGAAGCACCTGGCTCCTGCCATCGGATCAGTGCGGTGCGCCGGCCGCGGCAGCCACTGGAGGGTGAACCAACGGCAAAGGAAGACCTTTCTCTCTGTCTCTCTCTCTCACTGTCCACTCTGCCTGTCCAAAAAAAAAAAAAAAAAAAGTGTCCCTATGGACACTGGGGAAATGTGTCTGCTGGGCCTTTCTATTGGATACACTGTGGGCTCCTGAAGCTCCACGCTCTTGAGCAGGGCTCATGCTCGTCCTCTTTGTCTTAGCAGTCTTCGTGGCAGGTGAAGCCACTGGGCTGCCCACAGTCTCTGCATTTTGAGATCAGGGTCACCTTTGAGGGAGAGGAAGGAAGAAAGAAGCAGGTACACAGGCGTTCTCCAGGGAGTTGGAGTATGAGGGAGTTTTTGTCCTATCAAATCATACAAATACCATGTGCTTCCAGAAAATTTTAGTCAAAAATATAGCTTGAAGACAGTACAGTTTTGTTTTCTGTGATGCTAATGGATCTTTGCCTAGGTCTAAAATAATCCAGATGTAGAAAACTATAAAGATAAAACAAAGCAAAACTATACTTAAATATTTCCAACAGCTCAACTATTTCACTCTACTGAAAAACATTAAAAAAACACTTTTCAAGCCTGTAAGTAATGACAGACATACAAAGGCGATCCCAAACGCTGAAATGTGTCAAGAAAAAGCTATGAATGGTTATACCTTGACAGGACCCAAGGATTCCATTCTTAAAGGTTGTATTAACATTTTTGTTTGAACATAGTAATTTTTTTTCTAACTTTTATACATGTGGGAGGCAGGGAAAGAGACACACACAAACAGCCAGACACAAAATGAGCTTCCATCCACTATTTCATTTCCCCAAATGCATGCAACAGGCTGCACAGAGCCAGGCCAAAGCCTGGTGTCCAAATCTGTCTGGGTCTCCCACATGGGTGGCAGGGACCCAAGCACTTGAGCCATCACTGCTGCCTCCCAGGGTGTGCATTAAGAGGAGGTGGGATCCAAGTAGCACTCACAGATACTCCAGCAGGAGATGCGTGCATATTAATCACCGCCCCAAACATACCTCTTGAACACATCGTTAAAGGGTGGGAGCTCACGTGGGTTCACCTTTGTTTCCTAGGCCTAAGTATCGTCTGGCTCTGACTGCACTGAAATAACCCAGGGCTCTGAGTGCTTTCTCCGGGGCTGGAAGATTGAAAACTGCTGCCTCTGTGGTTCCTGAGGCTGGGTTCAGACTAGAGCAATTGTGAAGTCAATTTGGCCCATCTTGGGGACTTTGGCTCTCAAATGGCCGGGACTGTTCAGACTAAACTAGAGGTTATTTTACAAGGACCATCAAAATCCTCATTTGCATGTGTGAAATTCCTTCGGAGAGGCTGGTTTTTTGAATCAAGCTGGTTGGGCCAGATTACAAGTGGAGTCTGCCTGTGTGAATGTGAATAGCATCAGCTGGATCTCGGCCTGTCCCAGTCAGCCCTTCTTTGGCCCAAATCACTAACCGATTGCTTGTGCTTCAACACAAGCCACCGCGACCCCTACCACTCCTCAACGGAGGCCAGCCTTCCTGCGACAGGGAGACTAAGACGGTAGGTTTTCTCAGAACAAAGAGTCACCCGCAGCCGCCACCAGCAATGGATTTACGTGCAGAGAGTTCATCTTCCACTTCTAGGCCCTTTTGCCTTTTTACCTGATGCCATATTGATTCCTCATTAGTAGGTTCAATCAGCAATTACTGGGATCAAAACCAACAGGCTGGGTGATATGGAGCAAGTCATGATGTCTGATTAGAAATCAGCTCCCTGCGTCGTGTGTGTTGTAAGGAATGCAACCGCTTCTACACAGTGCTGCAATTCCTGCAAAACTTGGGCCTGGAAGCAGAAGCCCTGATCATCCTGTTCCTTCCTTGCAGCACCCTCTTGTTTGAGGCCAACTATTCCAGAATTTTCTCTGTACAGTCTTAGGGGGGAAAGGAAGCAACCTGCCAACCTGCCAACCTGCTGGGAGGCAGGTGCCCTAGTGTTATGAGCAGACCACTCCCCATGGCTCCTTCAAGCAGAGCGCTAGGGATCATGAGGAAAATGGGGCCAATAATTCTTCAACTTGGAGATTCTTCTGTGTCATCAAGACCCCCCAGGCCTTGGAGCTGTGTGACACAGGACACAGCACAGTAGTTACAAATTTCCCAGCGCTCAGTCCCTCCAGACGTCCTGCACATATGGAGGAGGTGTCCTGTACTCATCACCTGGACAGCAGTCTGGCAACTACTGGCCAAAGCGGTGTGGAACATCTGGATAACTGCTTCCAGATGTGGCCTTTCTCTGAAATCCTTGATTAAAAGTTTCACACTCAGCATCTTGTAATAACTGACAGATGCACAGAGTTTCTGTCGTCCGGACCCAGGTGGAAGCAGCAGGGTTGTACTCCGAAGATGAGGGCAGGGGAAGTCCAAGGAAACTGAGTCAGAGTTTCTGTTGGGCCAGTCCCAGCAAATGCAGCTGAGCATGGAGGCAGTGCAGTAGACTGAACAGAGTGCGGGCTTCGGCATCTGACAGGTCCCGTGCCTTCCAGCAGAGGCTCTGCTGGCCACCGGGAGCAACTCCCACGACACACCGCCTCTTGGAGCCCCAGGTTTCTCCTCCATTAAAAGGGGACACAGATATCCACACAAAGGAGGACTGTGCAAAGCCTGGCACCCAGCGGGCACCCAATAAATGGTAGTTTCTCTGTTTTTGTTATTGGTTGGGTCCCTCTTACACATATTACAAACCTGTTAGCACAACCTGTAGGACTGGGAGTTCTTTCGCCCCTTTATACGGAACAAGAACGTCGTTACAATAAATGCTACTGTACCCTTGGACGGGAAGCTCAAACAATTCCCGTCAAGGACAGCATCCTGACCAACCCGACCCGGTTCAGACTCAAAGCTGCAGCTCCTCTTATCTTCTGGACGTTGCCGAGAACAGGGAGGACATGTGGACCTGACGTGGCATCTCACCAAATCAGTGATTCAGTCAGACATGATGATCCACTTTAATAGGCACGGGGAGCTAGGTGACATTTTAAGTGTTGAGTTGAAGATTTATTTTAAAGAGCAAACTAATTTTATTCCCGTCATAACACTGTCCCCCTTTATTTTGGAAATCACAGTCAAGGTAATAATGGCCGTGATTTACGGAACACCTGCGATGCTCCAGGGTGACAGGCCCTTCACTCACACCCTCCTCATGGCATCTTCTTTACAGTCTGCTCGGAAACCAGGCGTTATTAGCATGCCCGCTGGTCGGGTGAGCAAACCGTAGCTCACAGTTAAACAGCGTACCGCAAATCACACAGCCAATGGCGGTGTTGGGAGGGGGAGGGGAGGCAAACCTGGAACTTGAACCTGTCCATCTAATCCCAAAGGCATCCTCCAACAGCCCAAAAACAACACCTTCATCTTAACCATTCAGTGAGCAAAAAACTAGCGCCGATGACTTTCCTGCTCATCACCTAAAATCGTTATGCTTGTTACACCTGTGCTTGTCCCTTGCTGCCTGTGTCCACAAGTTCTGTCCAGGGGCTCCAGAACACCTCGTTTTTCAGTCCTGCTGGCTGGACAGGTGTTCAGTACAATAGATCTCTTTTGCCCGCATCTGCTTCTGCATGCACGCTGGGGCCCCAGCCCGTCACGGGCGGCTGCTTCCCACATGTGCTTGCAGCCCCGTTGATGAGAAACGGCAGAAGCAGGTATTGAAGGTGGAGGCTCTGGCTTATTGCTCCGAATGTATTCAAAACCATTCCCAGACTCCACATAAAGAGTTTTACACACACAGCACATACGCTGCAGGGAGACAGGGAAGCAGACGTGGGGATAACCGCAGGGAGACAGGCTACCCCAACAGAAGTCTGGAGAGCCAGGCGGGGGGATGGCTCACCTCCCCTGCAGACAGACAGCTCGAGGGCCTGATCTTTGTAAAACGTTGACAGAAAGAACTGCAGACACCCAGGCCTGCTCTCTTCTCATTCTCGCGTGCAGAGCTGACTCAGCCCTGCCTGCTTCTCTGTGCAGGACAGTGAGTTATTCCATGCACTCGGGCTAATTATCCGCAACCCACTCCTTTCTTTTCTCACAGGTCGTTTAAATGTCTACTTGTCTGGGTTAGAACTTGGGTGGATGCTGCATTCCCCGCTGCAGCCCTCCCGAGTGATGGATTTCTCATACCTAGGGCATTGTTTGTGGGGAAATTCTTTCGATTTAAAGGTCCTGGAGATGGTCGGCCAAAGAATTTGTTTTACTGGGCTCCTGAAGAAGGCACTTAGCATTTATTGAGGACATAGTAAGTGCCAAATAATTTCCATAGGCCATTTCCTTTAACTCTCCTAGTGATCCTGTGAGTTAGGTACAGTAGCCCCCCTCATCCACAGGGGATACATTCCAAGCCCCCCACTATATGTCTGAAACCACAGATGGTACCAAATCCCATATATGCTGTCTTTTTTAAATACATATACATATCTATGGTAAAGTTTAATTTCAAATTAGGCACAATAAGAGACTTGAAACAATATCATACCAACTAATAAAACAAGGTTATAACAATACACTGCAACCAAATTTATTCATAATTTATGAATCTGGGGGGTTGGCATTGTGGTATAACCAGTTAAGCCTCTGCCTGCAATGTTGGCTTCCCCTATGGGCACCACTTGGCTCTACTTCCAATCTGGCTCCCTGCTAATGCACCTGGGAAAGCAGCAGAGGATGGACCAAGTACTTGGGCCCCTGCACCCATGTGGAAGACCCGGATGACACTCCTGGCTCCTGGCTTCAGCCTGGCCTGGCTGTTGTAGCCATTTGGAAAGTGAACCGTGGGTAGATGACCTCTCTCTCTCTCTCTCTCTGTATGTCTGTGTCTCACGTTCTCTTTCTTTACTCTTTCAAACAAATCTTTGTAAAAAATTTATGAATTTTTATTTCTGGAATTTTCCATGTAGTATTTTCAGACCACGTTGACCATGGGTAACTTAAAGTATGAAAAGCAAGACCACAGATATTGGGGGGATTACTATATTTGCTCCATTGCACAGATCAATAATACATAAGAAATTCACAATAAATGAAAGTAAGGACAAAATCAAATTGCATGTTGGTTTCTCCTGCACCCAAGCAGCAGGGTGGTATGGGAAAGGAGCTTCCCCTGGGCCAGGACACCTGGATTCTTGTCCCAGCATTGTTAGAAAACAACTCTGCATTCTTGGCAAGACATGTTGCCTCTCTGTGGTTCTGTTTATGTATGTATATAAACACACACACATATGCTTATGTATGTACATATATGGCTGGACTGGGTGATTTCTTTATAAGTGTACTTCTTCTTCTACCTTCCAATGACTCGTCCCCATCTTGATACCTAGTTACTATTAATAATAAGTTAGACTTTCCAAGAATAAATTCCTAGAACATAGCTAGCCTATAGCACTGAATTGATGTCCAACAGAACCCACATTTATGCCACATCTGGACAGCAAATTAAAGTAGCCATTGTACCCTCTCCTGAGTAATTTAGCATGCCGTGCCTTTTAAAGACAAGTGGAAGTAGAACTTGAAACCCTGTGGCATAATCACACAGGCAGTTGTTTTACCAACTTGGATGTAAGAAGTTTCCTTACAAAACAGAGATACTTGGTATTCCAGTTATCTCTTGCCTCTTGCTGCATACCAAACCAATCCCCAAACACAGTGGATATCAGACACAGATATACTTGAGCCATCACCTGCTGCCTTCCAGGTGCACGTTGGCAGGAAGCTGGAATAGGGAGCACAGCCAGGCCTGGATCTCAGGACCTCGATGTGGAACGCAGACATCCTAACCAGCACTTTCACCGTAGGCTAAATGCCCAACCCTACAATAGCTTCTGTGTTGTTATCTTTCACAACTCCAGGTGCTTAAAGCTCCCTTGGGTGATTCTTTTGTGAGATTCCTCATGGAACGGCAGCTGGGCAAAGACTGCCTGACATCTTTACGGTTTCTTCACTCATGGGTCTGGCGCGGGCACTGGGATGGCCAAAGTGAATGACTGAGACCTCTGTCCACATGGCTTCTCCATGGACTGCCATGGGCTTCACCACAGCACAGGAGCCTCAGAGTAGTCTGATTTCATAGACCACGCTGGATTCCCCAGCGTGCACATCCCGAAAGAGCCACAAAGAAGCTGCTGCAACCTTCTTACGCCCAGGCCTCACTTGTACTATATTCTTTTGACCACGGCATTCACACAGCAGCCCAGACTTTGAGAAGCAGAGGCACAGAACCTATTCAGTGGGAGAAGGGCTGTACCAAAAAGGGGAGGCCGTCACAGCAGCCATTGCAGAGACAAACTGCTCCACTTGGCCCATCTCGGAGCAAAACAAACTATAGGTAAAAGCCAGCTAGCTTCTCTCTCTCTCCCTCTCTCTCTCTTTCTCTGTGTGTATGTGTGTGTGAGACACACTTTCACACACATTCTGCCATAAACACTTTCACATAATACCCATTACCGTGCTGTGGATTGAACATAAAACTTGACTATAACCCTAAAGTGGGACTTACAGGTTGAATCCCATATGAACAGTAGGGATGGCAAGTGCTCTTCCATTTCTCTGTGAGACAGCATTAAGCTCCATCACTGATGGGGAAGGGAGAGCAACTTAGTTAGGGGAAATCTCTGCCCAAGACACTGGAAGGGCGCGCCAGTGGTCTGGTCAAGCCCCACTGGATGGATACGGATGCTCCAGGGATCTCAAGACAAATCCAGATGTCATCTGTGATCATCCCTGAAGGAAGACAAAACCTGCAAAATGAAGTGGCCAGACTCCGGTCCAGACAGCTGCACAGATAAGCAGGCCTGATGGGTGGCAGCTTTGATGGGCAGGCTTAAGAACACTAAGAAACAAACTGAAGGTCTGGACAACATCACTATCAGGGAAGCATATCATAAATCTCAGAATGTGACATTGTCCCAAGAAAAACAGCCACTGAGAGGCCAGCTAAACTACGGCAAGTGCTGGAGGACAGACGCAGGTCAGACCTGACGGTGGTGGTAGCGGAGGGGAGTCTGGCGGAGAAGCGGGGACCCAGAGAGCAGGGCACGGGCCCTGGAATTCCAGACCCCTGCAGGGCTCAGATTATCTGTGACAGAAAATAGCTGCAGCTCCTGGGGAGGAAGGGAGACTCAGGAGGCATCACGGAGGCGGCACAGTGATCCCTGGGGTTGCAGATGCCAGAACAGAGCTAGGATTACTGTGGCTTGGAAGGTGAATCCGAAGGCCCCTAAAGAAGCATTTCTTTTTCTTCATGACTCAGAGAAAGTCAGGAATGAATTCCCTAGACACGAAACCTAAGGAGGTTTCTGGCCTGTATCTGGAATACTTAGGAGTTGTCAGCCTTGCAATCTGATGGGCATTGCAAGAAGCTCTCAGTCTGTGGGGCAGGGAGACGGAACAAAGTTATTTTCCCCTTTGGCTCTGCCTCCATGTGGCAATATAAGGTTTGTTCTTCAAATCACAGGGCTTTTAAAGAAGGAAGACCCCAACAGGTCAACATAAAACCGCCAGCCAACAGATGGCACCATGTAGACCAATACTCAGGTCCTAGCACCTGGCCACACCCATCCCACTGGGTCCAGAAGTACTCTCCTGCACAAAGCCGGAAAATCCTTTGAACTCATAAACCACTTCTGGGAATTGAACACAATCAAACCATCCACAAAGGGAAAGGATATGTGGATAAAGATGTTCAGAGCAGCATTGTTTAGAAATAGGCTAACTCAGTGCATTTCAAACCTTGATTTGCATTACTTGAAGATCTTCTAGGACAGATTCATTCAGTAGGTCTGGATGGGGTTTGTAGGACTGCCTTTCTGGGGCCGGCACTGTGGCGCAGCAGGTTAAAGCCCTGGCCTTTGGTGCCGGCATCCCTTTAGGCGCTGGCTCAAGCCCTGGCTGCTCCACTTCTGATCCAGCTCTCTGCTACGGCCTGGGAAAGCAGTAGAAGATGGCCCAAGTCCTTGGGCCCCTGCACCCACATGGGAGCCCTGGAATTAGTTCCTGGCTCCTGGCTTCAGATTGGTGTAGCTCTGGCCATTGCGGCCAATTGGAGAGTGTACCTGCGGATGGAACACCTCTTTCTCTCTCTCTGCCTCTCCTTTCTCTGTGTAACTCTGACTTTCAAATACATAAATAAATCTTAAAAAATTTTTAAAAAGACACACTCGTGTGTGCATTGACAATACCTGACAAAGTCACGAAAGCTAGACGTGCTGATCAAAGGACAGTCAGGTAAACTTGTGCTGTACTTTTCAAAACTCTGTCTTAGGTAGACTTTCTGAGCTACTCCTTACTGCCTATCAGGAAACATCTCGTAAAATCATGGCCCACACGTCCTTTGGCAATGCATTTTTCTCCTGCTGCTACTGATTCTCTAGGTTTGAATCAATTTGCTGTGGGCTAGCTCTTGCCTCTTAGAGAAGCATTGTGAGTACAGGCACACATACAACATGCAAAGTGCTAAAGTTTATTAAAAGGTGAGGAACACACACACACACACACACACACACACGTGGGCATTGTTCAGGAAGAGCAGGCCAGGAAGGGAAAAGAGTGGGGGGAGTTTTGCAGAACCCTGTTTCCTCTGAGAGTGCGGGTGAGGGGGAGAGCCCCTCCCCATTGAGAAGCTTCTTATGAGCTTGGAAAAGGAAGTGGTCACATGGCACCGCCCCCAGGGGAGGTACATTCTGGAGAAGGGGACATTTGACTGACAAGTGAGTGGACAGGATTACATAGGGCAGGGGAGATGTGGCTTCTAGCTCATGACCCTAATCTAGCTATCTGCCTTATTCCATATCAAACTGACTCATTTTTTAAAGGTTATTATCTAAAAGCAAAACTTTAAAATACTTGAATTAATCAAGTACTAACCAAATTTGTTTGCAACAAACTCTAGGGTATTATTCCAATTCATTTATTGATCTGAAATTTTATTATATTAAATACTGGATTTTTAAGGCTTTTTTCATTTATTTGAAAGTCAGAGTTACACAGAGAGAGGAAGAAACAGAGAGTATGAGAGAGAGAGAGAGATTTTCCACCTGCTGGTTCATTCCCCAGAGGGCCACAATGGCAAGGGCTGGGCCAGGCCAAAGCCAAGAACCAGAAACTTCTGGTTCTCCCACGTGGGTGCAGGGGCCCAAGTGATGTAGGCAGGCAGATAGGATAAAATTGATTAGGTTTGTGAGCTGGAAGATCACGCCTTCACCACGCCCCTGTGCGAGCTTACGCCCCTACCTGATCACACCTGAATGCCCACCTGCCCATCAGACTCTGTGACCACTCCCGTTTGGAACGCATATGAAAGGCGAGGAATGCCCCCGAATCACTCTCTCCCCACCTTTGCTTTGCTACTCCTGTTAAGCTACTTGTGGCTGCTCATAACCAAACGCTCACTCCATGTGGCTCTCCGCCTGCTCTCTGCTTGGTATGGACCCAACTTAATTTCTGGACTTCTCTTTCTCCCCTAAATAAAGCCCTCACTCTCCTACTCATTTCTCACGCCGAATAAAATCCTTAAAACTTACCATGTTGTCTGGTCTATTTAAGCCAGTATTCAGAATTCTTCTCTGAATATGTGGCAAGAACCCACAAGGCTTAAAGATGTTGAAAAAAATATTAATAAGCAAGACAGTATCACAAGGACTTGGGCATCTTCCGCTGCTTTCCCAGGCACATTAGCAAGGAGCTGGATCAGAAATGGAACAGCGAGGACTCGAACTGGCACTGGAATGGGATGCTGGCATCAAAGACTGCAGCTTTACCTGCTACATCACAATGCCAGCCCCTCAAATTTTTTTTTTAATGTGAACCATCAGAGACAAGCATTTGATACTAAAATACCTGCATCCCGTTTTAGACTGCTGGCCACTCCACTTCCAATCCAGTTTCCTGCTAATGTGTACCATGGAAGGTAGCCGGTGATATCTCAAGTATTTGGATCTCTGCCATGCATATGGGAGACCTAGATTGAGTTCCTGGCTCCTGGCTTTCACCTAGCTTGTTATTGCAGGCATTTAGGGAATGAATCTGTGGATGGAAGCTCTCTGCCAGTTTCTCTGTCTCTCTTTCTCTGTGTGTCTCTCTGCCTTTCAAATAAAATTAAAATAAACAAAAATTTAAAAAGTTAAGCCACCAACTGCAACTTGGAAAATATCTTGTTAACATGGCTTCTCTTGTATTTTATTAAAATTGAACTTAATTTATAATGTTATTTCTGTTGTCCATGACATTCATCAACTTTTCTTTGTTCTTGCAGGAACCATATAAAAAAGGACTTCAAGAAGTTCAAGAAAATGAAATTAAAAGGTAAGTTAACTTTGGCGAAAAAATTTTTGAAGTCCATGAGTAGGTTTTCTGTAATGTCCATTTCCATGATTTTTTTTTTTTTTTTTTTGAGAGGCAGAGTTACAGATAGCGAGAGGGAGAGACAGAGAGAAAGGTCTTTCGTCCACTGGTTCACTCCCCAAATGGCCACAACAGCCAGAGCTGCGCTGATCCGAAGCCAAGAGCCAGGAGCTTCTTCCCGGTCTCCCACATGGGTGCAGAGGCACAAGGACTTGGGCCATCCTCTACTGCTTTCCCAGGCCACAGCAGAGAGCTGGATGGGAAGAGGAACAGCCTGGACTAGAACCAGCACTCTTAGGGGATGCCGCCGCAGGCGGAGGATTAACCTACTGCACCACAGCACCAGCCCCATTTCCATGAATTGTTGAGGACCCCTCATAGTTAGGAATTTCAAACTTGTATGCATAAAACAAACGCGTTTTAATTCCATTTTCCATGAACTTTGTGAAGTCTCCTTGTATCTAAATAAGCACACACACACACTGAAGTCCTAGTCTGAATTGTATTGTGCTGAGACCTGGGCGGCTGCAGGTCAGCTAGGTGGTGGTGCAGTGAATCAGAGTCTTTGTTTTCCCTGCTGTACAGTCGGTTTCGCTTGAACAGAGCTAAGCTTACACCCCAAAGGGTGTCATCCACTAGGTGGATGACAACAGGAGATTCTAATTTGAGAAGAGCTATTCAGTGTAAGTCCTGATGGGTGCTGCTTTTAGAAAACAAACAAACAAACAAGCAAAAAACCAGGAGCCCGTAGGGTGGATATTGGACTTCATCTCCAAGGTCATTTTAAATGAGAGTGAAACAAAAACAAGAAAGAAAGAGAGGCAGAGAAAGGGAAGCAAAGCTTGCAAAGGTTTGCCACTGCAAAGAAATAGAAAAAGAAAACGAGAAGGCAGTAGATAAAGCTGAAAAGTAATGCCTTCTTCAAGGATACATGAAGTTAGAAACAAAGTAAGTGAAATGGAGTGTGAATGAACTCAAGGAAAAGCCAAAAAAATGCTTAGGGGACAAAATGTTACTAAAGAAAGGAAATCCTAGCTTGTGAGACTTAACTTGAAACAAGAAGATAAAAATCCTGTAGACAATCAGCAAACAAAAGCAAGGAAATATAAATTTTCAAATCCCGTGGAGAGCCTGGAAGGGAAGTTAGCGAGACAATGCTGAGCGCACAGCTGAGAGGATAAATCATTTCTTTACCTCACTCTGTGTGAAAGAAGGTAACAGACCAGGGATGAGACGTGCTTGCCAGCATAAGGGCAGCCCAGTTCACATGGATGGGGTTCTCACAGAACCAACTCCTTTCTCGAGTTAACACGAGTGAGGTCCGCGGGGGCGGAGGAGAGAGAGGCCGCTCTTTTGGCATTCCACGAACTAGTTGAGGACTCGCTGATAAAGGAAGACCAGGAGAACGTTAGAATTTGCTGGAGCAGCCTTTCTTTTGGAAAGACTTTGGGGTTTCCGGGGGTGCAATCCTTAAGCAATTGGAACATTGGAAGTCCAAGACTCCGAGTTTCTCACCCATAACCATGAATGTGAGAGGGAAGTTAAGACAGCTTAAAGTACTGAATTTTCTTGAAAACATTTACTTAGAAACAACATTTGCTTACATGGCCTAGCATTTACTTAAAACACACACACACACACACACACACACACACACACCAAGATCCTAGATTCTAAGAAGAAGTTCACTAAGGTCTTAGAAACTCAAGGAGAAAAAATTTTGGCATGATAGTGAAGCCAAATACATTTTATCGTGATAAACAAACATTTAGAGTTTATTTCTCATTCTAAAACACAAGTCTGAGGAAGAGCTTAGCACATACGTGGCATGTTTATTTATTTAAATGCCTGGATAAATGGATAAGCAAAGCTTGCAACATCAATGAATACTGTAGATTAATTTTTCAAGGTCAGAGGGGCAGGTCAAAAGCAGCAATCTATGAGTAATAGAAGAAATTGGATAGGGGTATTATCCCACTTGGATTTTAGGCCCACTGGTAATTCTTCCACCTGCACAGAGGACCCTGGGATAATATTGACTTTTCTCTATACTGGCTTTTTATTAAAACTTCTGCTCAAATTTGTTTTTAAATATTCAGAAAAAGATCTAAGCTTCTCTGAGAAGCAGTTTTGAAAACAACTAGAAGCTTTATAATTCAGTGCAAATTAATTTTTATACAAAGTTGGACTTCAATGCTATAGAGGAGAAAGGGTTTTTAAAATTTTTTACTTTTTTAAGATTTGGTTATTTATTCATTTGAAGGCCAGCATTACAGAGAGAGGGAGAGACAAAGACAGACATATCTTCCATGTGCTGATTTATTCCCCAAATGACTGCAATGGCCAGAGCTGGGTTTTCCAGGTCATCTGCTGCCTTCTCAGGCACATTAGCAGGGAGCTGGATTGGAAGTGCAAGAGCCAGGACTCAAACGGGCACTCGTGTGGGATGCCAGTGCCACAGATGGCAACACGCACCCCAATGCTGGCCCCGCGAGGTTGTTTGTTTTGTTTTGTTTAAGAGAATGTCTTTTCCTGAGAATCTCTTCTAGTTAGAAGAAAGCATCATGGGGTTTTTACAGATGATGAGAAAGTTCAATGACATCTTGATGGTCCTTTTTTTTTTCCCTCTTGTTTTTTGATTTATAAATTTCAACTTGGAAAGGAAAGGTGCAGGGATAGTAGATAGAAGCAGATACACTTAAGTTTCCCCTAGTAGAATGCACGTTTCTCTCCCAGAGACTTTCAGGGACATGAAAAGACCATCTCTCTCTCATGCATGAGCAGAAGCATAAGGGATATTATTGATAGAGAACTTCTTGCTCTTTGAGTACTATATGGAAATAGCCTCGTTCTTACATAAAAATACGAAGAATAAGACTGATAAAACAGTGGTTTAAAAGGAATGAAATTTAGAAAAATATTTAATTGAACCTAGGTGGTGATTACATTTCTTCAAGAATTTGCTTAAATTATTTAAACTTACATCTTATAAAAAAGTCTTTTCTTCTTTATTATTTCTTTTTAAAAAAAATGCATAGTACTACCATTGTCAAAGGAATGGCCCTTAATTTTTCTACATGATCAACAGAAGCCAAAGTTAACTATTCATATTCTTAATTCTTTTATGAAGGCTCTGGCCCAATAGAAGTGGTTCTGGCTAGTCAGATGCAAATTTCTTTAAGCTACATGTTTTGGCTTGCGTGCTTAGTTTTAAATTCCACCATGTTAGCCTATTTCATCAATCACAAAAACTTTTTGAAACAAAACAAAAAAGTCTGTGCTATTGCAATCTAAGGAAGTAGCTTAGATGCTCAATTCATATCCTAAAATGGAAGAAAAAGCACATGAGAAAAGAGACAAGTTTCCTTGTTTTTGCTAGACAATGAGTTTGTCGTGGAAAGTGTCCGTTAAGCCAGAAACTTCTGTTAGAACTCAGAAACTTGTTGGATTATCTGAGGCCAATGAAGGTTTAGTTTACTGTGAATTTCTTTGTTCAAAGCTATTGAAAATGAAAAACTAAGCCTAGAAAGTAATCTACGGTTTGCCCGCATGTTTAAAGGAACTGATTTACTAGTTCTGATTTCTTTTTGGACAAATCACACTGGCTTTTCGAGTGCTGCTTTTCAGATGAACCTGAGGGCCGTGCAAGTAGTAAGAAGCCGCTGCCCTCCCAAGAACATTCCGAGGAGAGCAGGCCTTGTGCTCTGGCCCCCAAGCTGCCTTGCAGGGGTCACGCTGAGTTCTGACCAATCGTCCCCTTTCTCCTCTCATTTTCACTAGTCCTTCCTTTGTTTTCTTCTCCTTTTTTCAAAACGCGAGACCTTTCAAAATGTGAGTCCATAATTTGATGAATAAGTATAAGTATACTCTTGCTTTAAAGATGCTACCATAGGTACAGAAAAACCTTTCATTGTAAAATGTCAAAAGTCACTGAGATGACCCTTTAAAGTTTAAAAGTGTATGTGAACATATACATGAAAATTAGACTCTATCAGAAATACGTGATAATTCAGTCTGGTTGAGAATAAAGGTTGCTTCTATTTAAAAGTAATTTACAGGAAGTAATGCTATAAATAAAATGTAGTATTGAGGTTAAACTTAGAATCAGGAAATGAACAGAAATCTCTGGGCAGTCAAAAACAACTGCAAAAAGGTACTGAATGCCATGCACTGACTCAGAAGGAAGTCCCTTAGATGCTCAATTCATATCCTTTTCTTTACGCTGCATCTATTTCTAATAAGCTTGCATAGCAGTTTTTCTCCCCCTTGAAAACTGAACTAACAAATTAGACACAAAGTGGTGTTTTAAGCAGATTTGCTGATAGCAGTATAAAGGAATAACTGACAGTATTTAGCTAGAATGGGGGAAAATCTATAAAGGCAGGAATAGCACAAGAAAAGTCTAAGTGTGACACAACTTAATGGGAAGGGCACACAGTTCACTATCTCCCAGTAATATGAGACAACATGAACGAATCTCAGCAAAGAGCTGGGATTAACAATCTAGCAGCAGCCCTGACTCATCAAGAACAGAGATGCAACTTGTGTAAGGAGACCGACTAGGCCTACTGTATTTCAGAATTGCTTCATCCAAAACTATTAAACACTTTTTAAACTTTAAAAGCAAGAATCCTAGTTATCTAGAAAACACGTATGTATTAAATATCAAGTTCCTTGAAGATTCCAGAAAAATGAGGCCTCTGTGAACTAGCAAAACTGGAATATTTGAAAGAACAGCTGGATAATGACCTCTGAGCTACAAAGTAATCTCTACTGCCTTAAGTTTTCTATTGGGAATAGAGAAGAAAGCAGTGTGGATGTCCCAGCCTGAGGCCCTTGAGACCCCTGACTCTCTCTCTTGCAGTGTTCACGGTGGTGTATTGGAAAAGGCACCAGTTTGGAAGTTTATTCTATTTGCCCCCTAGTTCCTCCACTGCATTGATAGCCGTGGACACACCACTTCAAGCATCCATTTTCTATCTGTGAACAGGGATAATAATCCCCTGCCTCTGTGATCTATTTTAAGTGTCAGTGCCAGACTCCTATTTTGAGCTTAGAGACCTTCTGACCCGTCCTTTGACTCTATAGGTCATTGCACACACAGCGGAAATGGACAAAGGACAGAGCAAGGCATTGGCTTTTGCCAGCTGGTGCTGACAAGTTGACTGAGACACCACTGAAGACGAGCCCACTCACCTGCCTACTATCACCGTGACAATCCGGAGGGTTTTTCTTCTCCTCCCCTAGAAGCCTTCCAACCAACAAAAATGTCCAAGGGTGGGAGAGCTAGGAGACATCTGGCAGTGCAATGATAGTGTGTTCAACACAAATCATGGATGATCACGAGCTCTTCAATACCAAAGGCACGCTCTTAATATCATAGATTCATTCCTCCACTTATCAACCACATTCAACCCACATCTGTTTTGTGCCCGTCGTGTTCTGTGTTCCCAGCACTGCACCAAGCACTGGGTATCCAAAAGTGCAGTCTCTGAGCTCCAGCTTGTTAGAACTTTGTAGATGGACACACGCCCTGAAGCAGCAAGAATAGAGGCATGAGCTAAGCAATCTGCTTAAGGAACTACACACTCCTCGTATCTTCCATTGAGAAGATACAAATGGGGGGTACAGTAAGGAAGTAGGCGGATCTCAAAATGCTGCGACAGTCAGACTTTTCTTCTGTAGGTGATGGGGAATCAAAAAAGAGGTCCCGAGATAGGCATTTTAGTGGCTAGGATGCCCATGCCCCAAATAAGAGCACATGGGTTCCTTTCTTGTCTCCAGCTCCTGACCACAGCTTCCTTATAACACAGATACTGGGCAGCAGCAGTGATGGGTCAAGTGACTGGGTTTCTGCCACCCACAAGGGAGACGTGAATTGGGCATTTGGGAAGAGAACCAGAGGATGAGTGTTCGCTCTAAATAAATAAATAAAAGCATAAGACTTAAAGAGAGAAAGAGAGATTCCAACCTTTGGTGATATGGCCAGGTTTTCAGATCTCTGAAAATAAGGTATAGGGCAGACTGAGTTTGCTTTTGGGATTAGGGTCTTCAGTGAAGAGGCCAGGACTCCAGCCTCAGTGAGCAATAATGCAGGCCTGAGCCAGGGCAACAGCAAGGAGGATGCAGAGTCGGGAAGATGCGAGTCAGAGAAAAGACGGTGATGGATGTCAATCCAGTGACTGCTAGATCCTCAGTCTGCTGGCAGGGGGATCCCAGCCTCAGGAGGTAGACTCACCCACCCACATTAGCCGTGGGATTTGTGCTCCTTCAAGAAGAGAAAGTTTGGCCCAAAGAGAAAGCCAGACAAAGGATGCTCCCTGTGGAGCTCCCCCGACCCTCTGTAGTCAGCTGCAGGGCATTTCAGTAGCCCTGAGATACTC